AGAAATATTTGTAATTGTCACATTGACTAAAGAAAGCTTGTTAAATTGTTATAAATAGCAATATGACCTAATAGTTTAGAATAACTAAGTTATCGATATATTTCTTTGTGGGTAAAACCAGAGATACTATTAACAAAAATTTAAAAAACTTAAAATTATTATAGCATAAACACAATTATAATCTAAAAATGCCACTTTCTAAATGTGTTTCCTTTATCTTTTTTTAATTTATGCATACAAAAACTGGGGTGCAGGCCAGAGGTACGGAAGGTGAGAGGATTCACCAGTGACAGAGTGGGGAACAGACTGACTGAAATACACTGCTGAGGGGAGCAGTGGGCTGTCAGGAGAGGTCTGCTATACCATGTGGATAGCTCCCTGGTCGGCCGGGGGATTGATCTCCTGCTGCCGAGGTTGCGGACAGCTTCACAGTGCTGTGCTTAACCCCTTGCGCCACCAGGGAGGCCCTCCTTTATCTTTTTTTATATATATGCATTTTAGAACTTTTTTTGTTCAATGTTTATCACATGCAAATATTTGATCACCTCTAAACGTCAATCACTGTGCCAGGGATTATACATTGAATTTTGTGAAGTCAAAGACTTTTTTGTCTTGAATTTGACTTGCTCACTAAATAGATTGAGAGGGACGATTTTAAGATTAAAATGCTACTATTTTCTTTGGTGTGTAAAAGGTTTGTGTAATAATTTTAGTATGACTTTTGTATTTACCTTAAAGTTGTCTTTGTTATCCTTAGCTTCATTAGCCTACTTCCAGTTGACTACAGTGTGAAAAGTGATTACTTAATGGCCACCATGAATTCAGCAAAGTAACTCCAGTCTCCTTTTCTATCACTATCTTTTTTTAAAAAAATATTTATGCATACAAGAACTGGGGTACAGGCCAGAGGTGCGGGGGGGGGGGTCAGAAGATTCACCAGAGACAGAGTGGGGAACAGAACAGGCCGATTGACTGAAATACACTGCTGAGGGGAGCAGCTGGCAAGTCATGAGAGGTCTGCTGTGCCATGTGGGTGTCTCCCTGGCCAGGGATCAAGCTCTGCCACAGTGGCTATGGATAGCTTCTGTGTCCTAACCCCTTGCACCACCAGGGAGGCCCTCTATCACTATCTTTTAATTATATGCTTACCATGTGTGTGCGTGTGTGTGCATGGAAAAGTTAGAAGATACTTAATTCTATAAACTATTAATAACTTTAGTAGCAAAAGGGAGACTGTTATCACTGATGACAATTTTATATTTCTTGTCACTGAAAGTTGTTACACTTACAAATAAAAAGTGATATTCTTACCTTTTTTTTTAAGGGGGAATTTATTGAAATAAGCGCTGAGAGGAGCATCGGATGAGAAGGGAGGGGCCATCTGCCCTTAGTTGTTTTTATTACCATTTTATAACAAGTGTGTGTGATAAATGGGCCAAAATATGATGTAAGTTGTCAGTCAAATGGTAGTCATATTTTTCATTGTTTCTACTCATTCTCATTATTTTAACAATATATATTTAATGATGTTTAATTCTTTCGTAGTGATTGTTCTAGAAAAACAGTCAAATCCTGAAAGAACAGTTTATTTCTAAAAGATTTTTTTTTTAAGATTTATTTAGTTATGCATACAAGAGCTGAGGTACGGGCCAGAGATGTGGGGGGGGTGAGAGGATTCACCAGAAACAGGGTGGGGAACAGAATAGGCAGACTGACTGAAATACACTGCTGAGGGGAACAGCCTGCCTCGCCATGTGGGAATCTCCCTGGCCGGCCAGGATCGAACCAGCGCTGCAGAGGCTGTAGACAGCTTCAAAGTGCTGCGCTCAACCACCTGCACCACCAGGGGAGGCCCCCATTTCTAAAAGATTTTTAATAGCTTATTGAGATCTAATTTACATGTTCATAAAATTATCATTTTAAAGTATTCTGTGGTTTTTACTACAATGATTTTTTTTTAGTATATTTACAGAATTATACTACCATACCATAATGTAGTTTTAGAATATTTTCAATATCTCCAAAAGATACTCTGTACTCATTAGCAATCATTTCCCATTCTTCTATTTATCCCCATCCCATCCCTAGGCAACCACCGACTTACTTTCTGTCTCAGATTTTGCCTATTTTCGATGTCCCATGTACATGGTATTATAAATATACAGTCTTTTGTCACTGACTTCTTTGTGTGTGTGTGTGTGTTTTCATCCAGCCCCACCTTACCCCCCTGCCAATTCATATCTGGCTTCTTTTATTTAGCGTAATGTTTTTTAGTTCATCTATACTATAACTTTTTTTTATCACTTCTAAACACATTTTTAAATATCTCTCTTCAACTTATAAATACCAATTCACAGCATTCATACATGACAAAAAAGAATTTAAATATAGTCTCTTATAATTAAAATGAGGGTTAAGGGTAGAATCTCCTTGTTAATGGGATATATCTAAATGACTACAGCAATACCTTGCTTCACTTTTGCCGTAGTGGGGCACCTAGTATAATTTATGTCAGGTGTTAAAGAATGCTGTCCTTTAAATAGTGTCATTAATGCTGAGATTCTCCAATAGAAAGTAGGAATGGGGCCTCCCCTGGTGGAACAGCGGTTGAGCGCTGGGTTGCGCCAGTTCAATCCTGGGCCACTGGCAAGGGTCCCACAGGAAAAAAAAAAAAAAAAGTAAAAGTAGGAATGCACTGGCTGAAGTTGGGCGGGGAGAATGAATTAAGCAAGAAGTAGATTCGAGCTTGTTTCAGGCAAGTAGAACAGCATACACAAATGATCTAGAAGCAAAAGTGTTGGGCTTCCCAGGAATAGAAATTAGTACCATATGGCTGTTATTTAGATTTGGGTGGTGAAGAAGGGTGAGAAATAAAGCTAAAAAAAATATATACTGCAACAGTTAGGTCATTGTTCATGTCCTAAGGGCTGTGGGAACTATTTTTTGGAAAAAAACTATCAATATAAGGGCAAAAGGAAACTAACATAATTTTTAGCAAAGCATTATTCATAAAATAAGATTTATATTTTAGAAATCAGTTTAGCTGCAGTATGTAAGGGAGTAAGACCATAGATTTTCAAATTAAATTTTTTTCATTTTCAAGTGTTTTAATCATTCTTTGTCTTTTGCATTTTTTGTATAACTTTTAGAATCAGCTTTGCAAGTTGTGCAAACATGTCTGCTAAGATTTTTCTGTTTAAGGATTATGTTGATTCTGCAGATCAATTTAGAAGAATTGATGTTCTCGACAATTTTGAGTCTTTAACTCTATGAACATGGTACATCGCTCCTTATATTTTTCTATAATTTCAGAAATTATCTCAGAAATGTTTTATTGTTTTCTTTGTACCACTCTTACACTTCATTTGAATTTCATTAAATTTATTCCTAGGTATTTTATTCTTTTTGTTGCTGTTATGAGTGTGGAATTGTTATATTGGGTTTTCAGAAAAGTCATGAGTCTTTTTTTTTATGTTTTTCACATGGGCCTCTATGGCTTCATTGTAGTAGAAATAGGGTAATGAAGTTTTTTTAGCAAGTAAAAGATGTTACAAATCTCAACCTTGTAGAAGTTAATTAGCCATCATTAAGCTATCAGGAGCTCTCTTGATTAAACCATATTATTGTTGAAGAAGTGTTAGATTGAAGAGGTGTTTTTAGTAGATAGGATAGTTATCTTACATAATTCTGTGTGTTTGTAGAAGTGAGATGTGTATAGTTATTGCAAATAATTTTGAGAGGATTTTCTTTAAAATTCAGGGACTGAAACACCCTGGTCTTGCTAAAGGAGGATCCAATTACTATAATTCAAATCATGTTTGCTGGTAGATTTATTTATTTTTAATGGATTTTTTTATTAAAAATCACAGTATCTCACATCCTTTTATTTTTGTCAGAATCAGTCATTACTATGATGACTAAAAATTGATGTTTATTTTCATTGTGTTTGAAATCTGACTCAGTAGAGCTATATGAAAGAGACTTGTTATCTGTCTCTGTTTCCCTAAGTTCTGTTTACCATCTACAAGAGTGTCAACTTCTGAAAAAACTAAAAGTATGTTTAGAAGGGTAGTCCCCAGGAAGGACAGAGATCTGGAATCCAGGCTGATGGTATTATATACATTGCATTTGTCACTCCATCCTGTTCCAGTTCCAGGGAAATAAGACAGTCTTTAATGAGATCAGTGACATTTTGTATAGTTTCTGTATCTTGAATGCTGTCATCTCAGAAATTTTGTTCTGCCCTTCTCTCTTAATTTGATGACCACTGTGGTTAGAATTACGGTAATTTCACATTTTTCATATGGAGTAACAATTGAAATAAATTAATATCAATCTTCATAACCTCAACTAATCTGAGGCAGAACTGTGTAGTGGGAAATATTTGTCTACCTTTCTGCTCACCTTTTCCTTTGTGTATTCCTTCCCTAAGAGTTTATAAAATACTTTCCTTCTTTCCTAAGACTTAAGTAATTTTATTTATATTAATTCGTATTGTTATTAAGGATTTAAAATATTTTCTCCGACATATCATTTGAAAGGAGAGCTGTTGAATGGGTACTGCTTAATTAGAAGGCATGAATTACTAATGGTAGATTTTTCTGTGGTTCTAGGAAAGGAAATAGGATTGGGAAATAGTGAAATTATTGTCTCATTTTACCTTCTATAAAAGACTTAGCAATATAGTTATATTAGGGAGTTAGTCAAATACTATTGAAAACACATAAACTATGTAAATACAGGTGTTTCTTCAGTTTTTATAGTGGGAATGAAAAAGAAAAAAAGAGACAAATTTTAGGATAAGGCAGTTAGCCTCATTTGGGCTTATATTGGTTGTTACAATGTCATTTTCTTCCTGTGTATAAGGTATATGTGAGTGATTTTAGACATACTCCCTCACTTCTATCCTTCCTCCCCAACTTAAATACATCCCAAAGGATCCCTATCTTATAACTTTGGTCTTAATAATGAATGTCCCCCCTCCCTTTTTTTTCTTCTAGGTTATATTCATCACCAAAGAAAAAACTTACACCAATGCAGAAATCTGTTAGTCCATTAGTTTGGTGCAGGCAAGTTTTGGATTACCCAAGTCCTGATGTTGAATGTGCTAAAAAGTCTCTTATCCACAAACTTGATCAAACTATGTCAGGTATGTCTGTTACTTATAAATTCATCTCTTTGCGTTCTTTTACCAAAAAGCAGGTATATGTTGAGAAGAGTGTGTTTAGGAAAGCAGTTCTTTGCTCTCACGTATTTTTCAAATCTCATTGTACATACCATCATGAGTTTTTACCATTTGCATGTACTCTGTTTTATTATTTACTAAATAGCTTCCCCTCTTAATTTCCTCATTTTTAGTTAACTTCATCCTAAAGAGTAATGTCCATGAAACAGTGGGTTTTATATAGTGGTTTCAATCACCTAATAAATTTAATTATGTAAAACTGTTTAAAAAAGTATATCTGGTCTTTTCTAAAATCCTCTCGCTTAGGCCTCTCTGGCAGGTATTAAAGTCTCAGCACTGTCAAGCTATTGGCCAGCAAAGTTCCATCCCAGACCAGGAAGCTAACCCACTTGGCTCAGCAGATCTCTACTGTCTCACCCCGCTTCCCCCCTCTGGCCTAAGACCCCAGTTCTTGTATGCATAAATAAATAAATCCTTAAAATAATATAAATTGAAACTTTGGAAAGACTATTTTTAAAATTTAGTATTTTACAGTTTCCTTTTTATTTTAACAATACATGTTTATTACAGAAAAAAAATATATAAATACCCTGTTACATTCAGTTTCTTATTAAAGGACATTCTGGGTTGAAATAGTTGAAATAAGCTTTCCAACAAGATAGAAGGGAATGAATTTAGTAACTTCTAATATGTAGAGATATTCTTCTATGATGTTATTTTTGTTGGTTAGTGTGTCCACTGTTTTACCTGTATAACACAATTTATGATAAAGGAAGTATTTTGTTAGGATTATTAATATATATTCCCCCACTACTTTGGGACTGCTTATTCTTTATTTAAAGTGAAATCATTACAGTGAATTTCCTAATGGGAAAAATTTTGAAATAAAGTATTTTTTCTCAGTTACTCAGTTTGATTACTTCCTTTCTCATTAATGCAGCTCTCAAGAGGCAGAATTTATATAATAATCCTTTCAACTCCATGAATTACTCAAGTCCATACAGTCCAAATGCAAGTAGCCCGTATAGCAGTGGTTTCAATTCACCATCCTCAACTCCAGTGCGACCTCCCATAGTGAAACAGCTTATACTTCCTGGGAATTCAGGTAAGGAGAAAGTGGAGTGGGTGTGATTAAGGGATGGTTTTTAGCTTACTGCCCTTAGTTATTCATCAGTAGTTCAAGTTGATTTTATTTGTAGAACTTTTAATGGTTAAGATATCACCAAGGGGCCTCCCCGGTGGAGCGGCGGTTGAGTGCTGGGTTGCGAAGCTGCCCGCAGCCTCTGCAGCGCCAGTTCGATCCCCAGCTGCTCCCCGGCCACCGGAGCAGGGTCCCACATGGCGCGCAGACCCCTCCTGCCGCCCACTGCTCCCCTCAGCAGTGTACTTCGGTCCTTCTGCCTGCTCTGCTCCCTGCTCTGGCTCTGGTGAATTCTCTCACCCTCCCGTGCTTCTGACTGTACCCCGTGCTTGTATAAATAATAAATAAATAAATCTTTTTTATAAAAAAAAAGATATCACCAAGGAGCTGCTTTGCACCAGTTTCTACACTAGATTGCAGCTAGGGTATAGTCACAAACTTTTCTTTAGCATGCACTTAAAAGATTTGTAATTCTATTTTATTAAATGGAATGGGGTCACAAGATTGGTTCTTTTAACCAATTGATGCTTTTTTAATAACTTGGGTTGTGAAAGCTGCAGTTAAAAAACTACCTATAACTAGAAGTTTTAATAAGCTTAAGTACTAAAGTAATATTATAATGTTTTGAGAAGGTACTGAAGGAGTGTCTGGAGCCACACTATATGGGAGGGATAGATTGCTATGAATTGGAGAAAGAATATTGCACTCTGGTTCTGGGAGTGAGATCGTTATTCTGTAGTTTACTTTTCTTTAAACTTTACTCATTCAGTTACTCTTATTGTTGCTATTGTTATGGCACATTATTAGAGCTCCCTTAAAAATAATTGTTAACCACCTCAAATTTTTTACCTGTGTATTCCCTAAAGACTTTATTGACCTTACTCTACTTTGTATATGGATTGTTATTTTGTACTTATTTCACCCATGACTATCAGAATAAGTTTAATCTGCTATATTTACTTGATATAAAAAATTTTATACTAGTACTAGTTGAACCTCACCATGTAGTACTTTTCCTGTTATGTGTACTCTGCTCTTCTTGATAATATTAATGTTAACTATTCTTCTTGCTCTTCTTATATGCCTTTCATATTGGAGCTGACTCTTACGGTGAAGAATCCTGGGGGGAAAAAGCATTTCAAATCTATATTAGAAATATAAGTGATAGTGTTGGGATTTTATTATTCTTGTCTAGCAGTTGATGATCTAGTAAAAGCATTTTTCTAACAAACAAGTTAAGCACTTTTGAATATGAATATTCTTTATTCCTCTGACCTGTCTTGTATTATCCCCACCCCTCTTTTTTTTTTAACATTTTGAGAAGACGGGTTTACTAGAAAAAGGAGAAAGAAAAAAAGAGAGGCACCTGCAGAGTCACAGGTGGACGGGATTGCTGCCCACACCTTTTGATTTACAGTGATAGAACACTTTTTTAATGAAGTTCCTTTTTCACTCCACCTTTGTGTGCTTCATTTCTACACTTCAAAGAATTCCTTAGGTCCCCATTACTAGTTTGGCAAGGAATTTTGCAAACATGGTATACATAGTAAGGGCCTCCCCAGTGGCGCAGCGGTTGAGCTCTGTGTTGCGAAGCTGCCCGCAGCCTCTGCAGTGCCAGTTCGATCCCTGGCCGCTGGGTGAGGGCCCCACATGGTGCGTAGACCTCTCCTGCCGCCTGCTGCTCCCCTCAGCAGTGTACTTTGTCACTCTGCCTGTTCTACTTTCTCCTCTGGCTCTGATGAATTCTCTCATTCTCCCGTGCCTCTGACTGTACCCAGTGCTTGTATGAATGAATGAATAAATAAATAAATAAATAAATAAATCTTTAAAAAAAAAGAAAAGATGGCATAGTAATAGGAGAAATGAGCCTAATGTTCTTTTTATTTTGGTTTTGTTCCTAAACCTCTAAGGAATCCTAATTTTTCTCAAATTACATTTTCTTGTTTAGGAAAAGCAGGTGCTTTTTTGAGGGGTTAAGATGATGGTGTTTGTTAATGACTGAATTTCAGAGAAGAAAACATCACATAAATTCATCATTTCATAGAACTGTTTCATTGGCTATCTTATAAAAATTGAAATCTTCAAATATGTCTTATCGAACTCTAATTGCTTGCTAATACTGTGTTGAAAGCTTAATTGTTTCATAAGAGGATAGGTAAGTTATAGTTACATGAAAATGTGTTTTGTATTTGCACAATAATAGATGAAGGAGTATATATAACCCTTTTTGTCCTTAAAAAGGTCGTTTTTAATGTCGGTGTTTGAATTTTACAAACAGGAAATGTATAATAATAAACTGAATCAAAAGGTTTAATGTTAATTGCAATAAATGTTTATTCAATTTTGGTTTTACCAAATCATGTTTTTCTTTCCTAAGGTAATTTGAAAAATTCATCAGACAGAAATCCTCCACTCAGTCCTCAATCATCTATAGACAGTGAGTTAAGTGCTTCAGAATTAGACGAAGATTCAATTGGATCCAATTATAAGCTAAATGATGTAACTGATGTGCAGATTCTAGCTAGGATGCAGGAAGAAAGTAAGTAATTGTTGAAGTTGAAATCTTTCTGTTGATATTAAATATGATAAAGTTTTTTTTTTTCTTGATTAAGTGTTTTTATTGAAAACCATCATTAGCATTACTGCTGGTAACAAAAATGTGACTTTTACTGACAACACTGAGTTACTTTTTCTAAAAATTTTTTAGCATATGATCTTTTTTTTTTTTTTAATAATAAATTTTATTTTTATATTCCCCATACAATTGCAGCCCCCCCATTCTGACCCCAATCCCTCCCCTCCCACCCCCGCCCCCCTAAAAGTGTCTCTGGTTCGTAGTTTTTTGTTGATTTTGCTTTTCACTTTCTTATAGTTATTCGTTTTCCTGGTCCCTTATTTAAGTTTTCTAGATTCCTGCTATGAGTGAGACCATCCGGTATTTTTCTTTTTCTTTTTGGCTTTAAATATGATAAAGTTTTGGAATTTTATATAGAGTAGAAGTGCTGAAATTTCAAGAGCTTATTCAACATATGGACTTGCTTTTTCATTAACTTGTTTTCAGAGTCCATTTTATGATGAGCAGTTTTCTGGGTGAGGAGTGCAGAAAGACAGGTTGTGCCCTGCTTCTATGATTGTTAATCATATCATCTGCAGGTTACTCTGCACTGGCTCCTAGCAGTGTAGTTACTCTGTTACTCTGTTATTCTTAGTGTAGACCAGTGTTTCTCAACCCCTTTTTCTTTTTTTTTTTTTTTTTCACTCAATATTTGGTGTTTATTACTTCTGTGCATTTCTGTGCATACTCAGCACATGAAGTCTTCTTCAAAAAATACCGCTTTGTGTATATTAAATAAATGGAATCATACTATTTTTTTTCAAAACTCTGAAATTTCAGTTTTGATTTTTTTTAATATTTTATATAATTCTTACATCATTTTTCATTTTTGCACAATGTATGCATTTTCATTTTGGTTATATTCCCCATACAATTGCACCCCCCCCTTATTTTGTCCCTAATCCTCCCCCCCCACACACACCCCAGCCCCCCCAGTGTGTCTCTGTCAACCCTTTTTTCACCATTGCTTCCTAAGGAGACCTTTTAGACATTTTTCCTTTTCCACCTCCCCCCCCCCCATGAAATTTTAATGCCACAGATGTATCTATATCCCTTTATGTACATTGATTCCACAAACAATTCATCTCTTAAAAATTTTTTCACATTCCAAGAAACAATTTTTATCTCCTTGGGGGCAACCTTTCCTTATAATTATGATAGAAACTAGAAAAAGATCTTTATGAGAAAATTAGAATCGTGATATTAAATTAAATGAAGCATATGTGGTGCTTTGCAGAGTGATCCTTGCAACTTTTTAGGTCACAGACACCTTTGAGAATCTAATTAAAAACAATGTTCCCCAAAGCCTCCCCTGGTGGCGCAGCGGTTGAGCACTGGGCTGCGAAGCTGCCCGCAGCCTCTGCAGCTCCGGTTTGGTTCCCGGCTGCTGGCGAGGGTCCCACATGGCACACAGACCTCTCCTGCTGCCCGCTGCTCCCCTCAGCAGTGTATTTCATCCATCTGTCTATTCTGTTCCTTGCTCTGGCTCTGGTGAATTCTCTCACCCTCCCGCGCTTCTGACTGTACCCAGTGCTTGTATAAATAAATAAATTGTTTTTAAAAAAATAAAAAATAAAAACAATGTTCCCTGTCATCTCCCGAATGAACAAAGTTTTTTATAGTATTTCATGGGTTCCTAGATGCCCTGACTCTGATCTAAATGTAAAATAATGGTGATGGTATTATTCTTACCTGTACATTTTATTGTAAGATGTCATGGGCTTAACTGTAAAGTTAGCAATTTCTAAAGCATGTACCCTTTGACCTTCATGATGAAGACATCTTTGCAACACATTTCAGTTGTGACAATTAACTGAAGGTAATGGACCATTGCTATAATTTCATTCAAAAATCTTTCTGTTGTCTGTATATATAATAGATCCTTTCTTTACTGTAGATATATAGTAAGGTTTATTAAACTATAAAATTTATTGAGAAACTGCAAAATGTTTTTTAATCTGCTCATTTATTTCCTATTTTAAGAAAGAAGAAATGACTTGGTTCTTCCTTTATTTATCTTTAACCCTAGAAACTGATAATATGGTACCCTTTTCTTCTGTAATTTTGTGTAACTCCTCACTGAGTCTGTGGTAGTGTCAGCTAGCAAGGGCTGGTTGTAATGGATATGAAAAGAGAATGAAGAATGCTGCCTAACTATACCTTAAACTTACATTTCTTCTCAGAACCCCAACTTTTTTGACCCCAATATTTTGCTAGAAACTCAGCTATTTGATAGAGCTTTCATTATTGTGGTTTGGTAACAGATAATAGAAATTTTTGCCTTTTCATAATACTCCTTAGCCATATACAAGAATAAATTTCTTTTTCTGGTGATAAAAAAGAAATTGCTAAAAATACACATAATACTTCCTTGAAAACGCCAGCTTTTTATTTATTTATTTTTTTAAGGAGACTAATTTTCCTTTTTACAACATCATTTCTCTTTTTTTTTTTTTTTTTTTTTTTTTTTTGGTTAAAAAATAAGTAGAATTACAGATTTTGCCTGGGTAAGCGTCCTCAGTTTTTAGATGAGTAGCAAAGAATCAGAGTAAATAATCCCATAGTAAATATGACTTTCTTAGGATCCCCTTGTTAGTTGAAAGCCTGCATCAGGATCTGAGTTTTTCTTTTTTCAAATAAGGCTACATTTTCCTTTAATACTGGTGTGTTGTGTTTTGTTAGGTGACTTTAGTGCCCATGTTTGGTATAAACAGACACTAACTTATTCAGTTAATCAGTTAATCAGTTAATTGCAGTGCTTAGCTTTACACATACCTTTGCATGATTCTCATCATCTTTAGGAAACCATGTTGAGAGTGCTTTCAGTGTAAAAATATATGACTTAGAAGTTGAGTACTTCTGGGCCTCCCCGGTGGCACAGCAGGTTGAGCACAGCGCTGTGAAGCTGTCCGCAGCCTCTACAGCACAGGTTCGATTCCTGGCTGACCAGGGAGAAACCCACATGGTATGGCAGACCCCTGCTGCCTCACCCGCTGCTCCCCTGAGCAGTGTCTTAGGTCCATCTGCCTGTTCTGCTCCCCACTCTGTCCCTGGTGAATTCTTTCACCCTCCCACACCTCTGACTGTACCCCAGTTCTTGTATATATAAATAAATCTTAAAAAAAATAAATTAAATAAATAAAATGAAAAGGCTCATTTGAAAAAAAAAGTTGAGTACTTCTCTGTAACAGAGTCCTTTTGATTGGGCAGCCAGTAGTTAACAGGACTTGCTCAAAATGTTATCTAAATTAGATTCATTTGTGGAATTGTTATTTGTCTCTTTGTATATGTAACAATGTTTATTTTTGTCCTGGAAGGTTTTATACTTTTGGAAGGGTTCCTAAAGCTGCATAGGTGTTTTTGAAAGTATCCAGATATATAGGGGACTCCTTTGAAAAGTCTTGAAGTCTTAGAATTAAAGCTTCTGGACGTTTTGGAATTGTTTTATTGACACCTCTTAGGTTATGAAACAATTGAAATCTCATTTATGCCCAACAGTTGAATTCCTAAGGATGAGATAAAAGTTTTCTCTATCATCTTCATCAGTGTGACTAATCCAAGAATTCATTATTCAGGGTTTATTTACTCTCTGATGTATTCTTTTCATTGAACAATAACTGTTTTCCTTCATAGTCCTTTAATATTAATCTCAAATCTGGAATCTTGGTTTAGGTACAGAAATACTTTTACATTTATGGTTCTATCTTGCAATGCAGATTTCAGAGTCAAGAAAAAAATGTTGAAATTGGACAAAGGTTTATAGAATTCCATTCAATTTAGAAATAACCTTTTAGATGTGGTTTATGCATCCATAGGAGGGAGGATGTCTGAAATAATTCACGTGGAAACAGTTTTTCTACACCCTTTTTGATTTTTCAGTGATAATCTTTTGCTTTTAAACTTTACAGATATAACTAAAGAAATAAAATAACACATTCATTATTGTCAGGTCTCCGGCAAGAATATGCAGCCACCACATCTCGGCGCAGTTCTGGTTCATCTTGCAATTCTACAAGACGGGGTACTTTTAGTGATCAGGAACTTGATGCACAAAGTTTAGATGATGAAGATGACAATATGCATCATGCAGTATACCCTGCTGTTAACAGGTTTTCACCATCACCACGCAATTCACCTCGACCATCTCCTAAGCAGTCACCCAGAAATTCACCTCGGTCACGATCTCCTGCTCGGGGAATAGAATATAGTAGAGTATCCCCACAGCCCATGATTAGCCGCTTACAGCAACCTCGCCTTTCACTTCAAGGCCATCCTACAGATTTACAGACAAGCAATGTTAAAAATGAAGGTAAAACAGCAGATTTTATTTGTATGAGAATGTTTCTGGAAAAAAGTCGTCCTTCATATTTCAGTATGAAAGTAATACAATATTTATAAAGATTTTGTATTTCAGATAAGCACATGAAAAGCTTACATTTTATTAGTAATACAAAATGAAGAATAAACGCAAATTTGTGTTCATTTTGCTTTGTTCTTTTGATGAAGTGATCTGTAAGTGTAGCTTTCGATTTAAACAAATAATTTATGGTTCTTTTTTAGAGGCTGTTTATTACCCATTTATAGAATCTGGATTGAGTTGCTTATTTTTGTAAGTTCTTCCTGTGACTCTTCTGATATAATTTGATTTTGAATGGTAATTACTATCTTAGTCCTTTCTCCATCTGAAAAAATGGTTTGATTTTTTTGTAATTTAATTAAAATTCTATTGTTACAGAAAAACTACGACGTAGTCTTCCAAACCTATCTCGAACATCTAATACACAAGTTGACTCAGTGAAAAGCAGCAGAAGTGACTCAAATTTTCAAGTGCCAAATGGAGGAATACCTCGTATGCAACCTCAGGCTTCAGCCAGTAAGTATCTTTCATTTATCAGTTATTTACAGGAAATGGAAAATTACAGTTATTAATTTTATGTTGAATATTCAACCACATAGTAAAGTGTAGTGATTATTAGTGTTGTAAGTTAATGATAGCTATACTACATTTAAAAATTTGTCCTTATACCCAATTTTATCAATGCTTACATGTATATGACACTCTTGTTTCCAGAAGTTTAAAATAATCAAAGCCTAGCTATTTAATATATAAATATATTTTACTTAAAAAGCCTTACTATTCTGCAATATGCTGCACATTAAAAATGACAGATTTTTTTGGAGAAAAGCTATGGAATAAACCACTTAAACCCAAGCAGCTTTCTTACTAGTGTATTAAAACAAGAAATAACCTATAAAAATACTAGCACAATTAAAGACTTTTTTAAATTCTTAATGACATAAATATTCCACCAAATATAGAACTTCATTAAATGGAAAGTGAAGGTTGAGACTGTTGAATTAAGGAGCATGTGCAACACACATAAAGTGAGCATCATGTCGAAAGAACTTCTAAGACAAAGTTACCTAACTGAGGCATAAAGTGCTATGAAAGTAGACTGAGCACTGTGTATTTTACTCTACATGATGATTTAAAAAAAATTAAATGCTTTCCCAAAAGTATTATTAACTTGATAGATATGAGTATGTGGTTAGCCCAGTTTTCAACAAGCTAGCACAGTTATTCTATAATCTAAATTTTCAGTCTGCAAGCCTCGTGTCACACAGGTCGCATCAATCATATAGACTGATACAGTTCCTATGTAGTCTGTTACTGTCAGTGGTTGAAGCGATCACTTTGCTGAGATCCTTCATTTCTTTAAAGCTGTGAGAAAGAAGTGATAGAAACCTGAGGTTAATGTTCATTTATAACTTGCTTATTAGATAGTAAAACTTAAAAAAAATTCAATTCTTTTAAAATGTTCTTGCATTTTTCCTGTTATGTTGTGTTTAACTTTGTGTTAAACTTTTCTTACTTGGTGGCTCAAAAATCAACAGGATAAAGAAAAAATATATTTGAACAGAAATGACTTGTGATAGTATCGATAAACTATCCTTATTTGCCAATAGCATAATGCTATTTATATAACAGAAGCAATTGCATGATACTCTAGCATACAGAGAGATGTAATCCTATTTAAATCTTAGAACAATTATATGAAGGGACTACAATTAACACATTTTAAAAATTAGGAAATTGAAGCTTTGAATGACCAATAACTTAATCTTTTGTCATATAGCTTGTAAGTGACAAGTTAGGATTCATACTCATAGTGATCTTCCTGAGAGCCCACGTCCACTTAGAGAGATTTGTCATATATGTGGTTTAATAATAAGACATAAAAATTATCCAGAAATACTATTTTTTTTGAGATAAAATTTAAGAAACTGAAAAATTGTACCTAGAGATTTGTGTACCTCATTTATTCAGGTGGACATGTTTTTGTACTTAATTAAACTTAGTATTCCAAGTCTTAACTGTGTAATTAAGAGTTATAATACTTATATTTATGATACTCAGATATGGTACCATAAATTTTATAGAAAATAGGGATTCACAGAACTTTAAAAATGAAAGTAAAGATAAAATTTTAAAACTCTAAGTCATACCTAAAATGACAAGCAATGAATTTTGTGCCTTTAAACCTGCATATTAAATTAATTCGGCACTTGAGATTATCCTGTTGCTGAGTTTCTGAGATCTCCCCCTCCCCCTTGAGATGCCTGCCTTAAACAAAAGCAATCCCTCAATGTTAAATACAACGGAAAAGAAAATTTTCTATCGTTGAGAAGATTAAGGGGGGGCTTCCCTGGTGTTGCAAGGGGTTAAGATGCAGCACCATGAAGCTATCAGCAGCTACTTCAGCAAGAGTTCTTTCCCCAGCCAGGGAACTAACCCACGTGGTGCAGGAGACCTCTCCTGTCTTGTCTGCTGCTCCCCTCAGCAGTATATGCCTGTTCTGCTCCCCACTCTGTCTCTGGTGAATCCTCTCACACCCCATACCTCTGGCCTATACCCAGTTATTGTATGCATAAATAAATAAAAATAAATCTTTTTTAAAAAGTTAATGAAAACCATTACTCACCTTCCCTAGTGGTAGAATTACAATTATATAAAAACCTGCTAGTGTAGAATCACACCAGTCACAAAAATGTATTTGAAAAGTAGTAAATCCAGAATATTAGCAAGCTCAAAGCTTAATAAGGTTTAATATTTTATAAAATATTAAAGCATTTTGTTTAAGCACATTTTATGTAATGCATATTATAAAGCAAAAAAGTGTTATCCATTTTCTTTGAATTTTAACATATCTTATTCATAAAAATGTGTGTATATATTTTAGTGTGTATAAATATTATAATTTTCATAATAGCCTTTTAATTTGATATATAATTATTTATAAACCTAATAAGTTTTATGTATTTAATAAATACACAAATTATTTTTCTATTTTTGTATAAGCTTCAGTTGTTAATGCAATACATGTTGCATTTTGTTTTCTTTTAAATATTTCTTTTCCAGCTCTTAAGTGGTAAAGCTTTGGTTCTTACTTGCTGGTCTGCATGAACCTAACTTTGCAAGGTTGCTATTATTTTCCTCTGAGGAATCACTTCTTTTGCCTTATTACTATGCCAATCACTGTTTTTATACGCTTATTTGCTGTGGCTGCATTATTGTAGATGCTGGCATTCAAATATAAATATTGTGAGAGTTTTTAACTTTTATATTTGGAAAATGTGAGTAACTTAAAAAGTTTAAGAAAACCAGAGCATTGCAGAGGTCATGGATACATGTCTTTTTCTCAGATTGTACAATTAAAGGGGATATTTGTCCTGGACAGAGCTTTTCCAAAGTGCTTTGCTTTCTTAGACTACAAGAAGCACAGGTTTAGTAGAAAGTTTTGCTTTCAGAAAAGTATAGGAAGTATTGGTTCAGAAATAAGGGAAGAGAAGGAAGAAAAACCCAAGAATCTTTTGGTTTTGAAAAAATATTACAAAAACTTTGGTTAATATCTTTAAATGTTTACTTTCATGTGAATTATCTTAGTTGAATATTACAACAACCCATTTCTTATTTCTATAGAGAGGGGGCAGAGATCCATATTAAATTATATGAAGGTCGTGTAACTAGAAAAGTGGCAAACGAAGGCCAAGTCACTTTTTCCTCCCAAGGAAAGTCTCTCAATTCCCGTCTAGTCATTATTTGGATTAGATCGTGCTGATCCAATTGCAAATGAATAGGCCTCTTGGAAGATATTCTTATATTACTATTGGAGCATGGTTTGAGATCAAATAATAAATATGTTGTGATTTACCGCAAAGGAATAAATTTATTCATTATAATACTTAATCACTTTTTACATTTAGGCAAGATATTTTTGCATAGAATACCCCCCAGAGAAGAGATATTTAAGATCAGTATTCTGCTCTGGACCTCTTTCTGAAGAGGGTGTATTGGGGACAGTTGTCAGCTCTTAGACTGCTGAGAGCCAGGGGGAAAGGATTCTCATCTACAATTTACTTAGAACCCAAACACTGAAAGGTTACACTTTAATTTACATAATTATGAAACATAAATTGAAATACAGAAGTCATGATCTGTGAATGAGCTAATGTGAGAATGTATGAAACAGCTATAGGATATAGATATAGGATCCTGTGTAAGGATAAGTAATGCAGTGATGTTGGGTCAGTTATCTAATCCCAAGGAGATTTTATAAATGCAGCCTTCTGGCTCTTCCAGAAATTTTGACTGAATACATCTGAGATTGGGACCCAGTATCTTTCTTGAATAAGTGTCTCACCTTATTCATGGGGCATATTCAAGTTTGAGAACCGCTGGATTAAAGCTTTACTATGGAGTATCTTGAATCCTTAGTTAGATCTTTAGATACTATCTAGTGGGTCAGTCACCTATGTATTCCTTTATTATTCAACAGATAGTTGCTGTGTGTGTGTTAGTTCTAAGCACTGGGAATAAATGTGAAGGAGATATCTCCTGCCCTCCAATAGCAGGGTGTGATAGCTAGGAACTTCTATGGAAACAGAGAAGAGATGTTAAATTCAGCATTGTAAAGAGGTTTTCAGGAAAGGTATTGAATGATACCTGTTCAACTCAGGAGGAGCTTATGAGTTGCCATGTGAAGAAAGGAGGTACAGATTTTCCCAACAGTGAGATAAGTAATGAATTCTTAAGTATGTCAGTTTTTCTGATAAAATGTAGTGTGTAGGATGGGTTAGCAGGTGTAATGAGTAATGAGAGGTGTAGGTAGGGAACAGATCATGTAAATATATTAGATTTGAATTTCACCCTATAGGAATGGGAGCTCTAGTATTCTTTTAATCAAACTGCTTCTTAGAAAATCCAGTCTGGTAGTAATATGGAGGATGGGTTATAGTTGAGGAAAGATTATGGCTGTTCCATATTCCTGGCAAGAAATAAAGATCTGAACAAAGCAGTGGTGCAGGGGGTGAGAAGTTCTGGGTTTGGTTTTTTTAATTAAGCTGAAGGTGTGTGACTTGGTAACACTGAGAGTAAGGTAGATAGGATGACTCTGAATGACAGTTTGTTAAGGAAGAAAAGTTTTAAAGCAGGGCCTCCCCTGTGGCACAGCGGGTTGAGCCTGCGCTCAACTGTGAAGCTGTCAGTAGCCTCTGCGGTGCAGGTTCGATACCCAGCCGGCCAGGGAGATTCCCACATGGCATGGCAGACCTCTCCTGTCGTGCCTGCTCCTTCCCTCAGCAGTGTATTTCAGTCAGTCTGCCTGTTCTGCTCCCAGCTCTGTCTCTGGTGAATCCTCTCACCCTCCTGCATCTCAGGCCTGTACCCCAGCTCTTGTATAAAATTAAAAATAAATCTTAAAAAAAAAAAAAATCTCTGAAAAAAAAGTTTTAAAGTAGAATGTCATAGGGGTGGTGGGCATGGGTGGGGGAGGCATTTTACCTAGCAGTAATTAATGTTCACTTATAGTGTCT